GAGGTCCCCTCTGAGGTCTTAAGTCACCTGATTCACGAGCCCGTTGTACTACATTAACAAAGGCACGAGGGGTTGGTTGCACTCGTTTGGGAAACCGATCCGCATAAACATGTGCCATTTTTTATTTCGTTTGAGCCACGCAACAGATACCACCATTCACTGACACTGACTGTATACAAATGAATGAGATACTTGTAAAAACATCGTTCCAAATTCTTTCGCTTTTTTGTTTCCGATGCGATGAACCGATACGGCGGATTATATCCGTTGTCGCCAAACACGACCACATAATATTGTTATTGAGACAGGGCGGTACTCAAACTTCCAAAGGGCTATAACTTTGTTACTTTAATTTTACCAGGAAAATGGTAAAGGAAAAAAACATTTCTTTTGATCAGATCTACTCACTGTTAAAATAAATGACTCAACTTCGAAGTATATTGTCGATTTTCACGTATTTTTTCCCCATTTTTACGTATTTTTCTATTTTACATTTATATCTTTTTGCATTTTCCCTTGACATTATTGAATCTTTTTGAAACAACTTTCCATTTAAAATGTCTACTAACGGTTCAGATGATTACCAACCAGCTGAAATTCCTGATAACGTTCATGCGAACATTGAACCTTATAGATTATCTGAAATATTTTCGATTGTACCCGAGTACGATGGAAACCCGATATTGCTATCGACCTTCATCAACGCGTGCCGAACGGCATATCAAATGGCCGTCGAGGAGCAGCGGCTTCTCGTCGTTTTACATATTAAAAACAAACTTCGCGGACGTGCCGCCGAACTTGTGAACAGCCGAAACCCTACCACGTGGGAGGACATACGGTCCCTGTTAGAAACGCACTTTGGAGATCTTAGAGATCTCACATCTTTAATCGCGGATCTTCAACACATGCGCCAACTCCCCAACGAATCACCCCTAACCTTTGCATCTAGACTGCAGACGCATGCAGCCAAAATGCATTCCGCCGTGAATATTCAAAATCTAAATCGCGAGCAAAAATCTGCTCAAAGTTCCCTCATCGAAACGATGACATTAAATTGTCTATTAACAGGATTAGACTCAAAAATAGGACCTGTTGTGCGATCAGGACATCCCACGGATATCTTGACCGCAGTTTCGTATATCAAACGAGAGTTACAACTTTCATATTTGGAACGACAAAAATTCGCCAGAGCCCCAAACCCGAATCAAAATTCAGTTATTCGAAGACCAAACCCTAAAATGTGTAATTTTTGTAATCGTCCCGGTCACTTGGCAAATGAATGCCAACGGAGACAACAGCCTAAGCTTTGCCCCAAGACAGTTTAACCAGCCCCAACCTCAAAATTACCCTAGGCCGAATCAACCTATGCAAGTTAGACCATCTACATCTAACTACCATCAAAATGCTAATCAATATCCTCCCAGACCATCTGTAATACGACCAAATGTGCCTAACGCGAGTGCGCCAAGACCCTCTGTAATTCAGAGCAATCCAAATTTCCAAAACCCTAATTTTCAAAGAAATTTTAGACAAAATCCTCCCAATCGAATTAATTATGTCGCCCCCGATTCTTACGATTATTCCGACTACGGTGAACCAGACCTATACAACACGGACTACGCTAATGAATATGACGATACCCAGTACTCCGCCTACACACCTTCCCCATACGATGATTTTAGAGAACCCAGTAACGATTATTGTTACGAATATAATCAAACCGCCGATACATTTGTTGGCGAACTTAGCGAATCTCAGTGTCGAGGACCCGAACGCGAAACCGTGTGCGAGCGTCAGCAACACATGCGATCAGATGTTCATATAAACCCTCCGTTTATAGTCCCGTCGACAATTCACCCAGTTAGCCCAGACAACTTATATTACATTAAAGATGCTACTGGAAAATTCAAAATTCTCATTGACCGTGGTGCAGGTTGCTCCATTTTCAAACGTAACACTTGTCAAAATTATACTAATCGTGTCACAGAAAATATCTCTATCCGAGGTATTACTGACGAAAAAATTAGTATTACCGAAGCAGTCTTAGTCCCATTTGCTCCCAATGATTATCACAAAATTTATGTCCATGATCTAGATATTTCATTCGATGGCCTTCTTGGGTCAGATTTTCTTGAACATTATGATTGTATTATTGATTTGAAAAATCGTCAATTGATTACAAATTTCAAAACAGTCCCTCTTTTCAAAGTAGGTGACGAAAATAATTCCAAAGCTCCTCAATTTAAAGAAAAGTCCCAAGCTTCGCAATTTAAAGAAAATTCTCAAGTTCAAAATGTTATTTCCATTCCTCCCAGAGTTGAACAAGTTGTCAAGCTCAAATCCGAGCTTAGAAATACTGAAGCCATTCTTCTGGCATGTGAGGTAGAAAAAGTCCGTCTACCCAGTTCCAGTAGTTAAAATTGATTCTAAAGGCGAATTCCTTACTACAGTATTAAACTGTAATGCCATTCCAAAAAATGTAATTTTACCCCAATTAACTTTCGAGCCCTTTAACGAAACTTCTATCAATAATTTCAACACTTCTTTACAAAATCAAAGTCAGTATAACCGTAGAGATGTTATTAGAGATCAATTACGTCTCGATCATCTCAACGAAGAGGAAAAAGATTTAATTACGAATCTTTGCTTAGATTTTTCGGACATATTCTATTTAGATGGTGATAGCTTGTCATTTACAAACGAAATTAAGCATTCCATTGATACCACTACCAGTAAACCAATTTTTACCAAATCCTACCGATACCTTATGTCCACAAGCAAGAGTCAAAGATCAAATTTCGAAATTACTAAAACAAGGTATTATCGAACCTAGCACATCGCCATGGAATTCTGCGGTGTGGGTTGTACCAAAGAAAATGGACGCCTCTGGTAAACAGAAATGGCGTATGGTGATTGACTATCGTAAGCTTAACGAAATCACCATCGATGATAAATATCCCCTGCCAAACATTTCCGATCTACTTGATCAATTAGGGAAATGCCAGTACTTTAGTACACTGGACTTGGCATCTGGATTTCATCAAATCGAGATAAATCCAGTTGATGTTCCTAAAACTGCATTTTCAGTTGAAAACGGACATTACCAATTCTTGAGGATGCCTTTTGGTCTCAAGAACGCTCCTGCCACGTTTCAACGTGTCATGGACAACATCTTGATGGGTATACAAAACGAAAGATGTCTTGTATACATGGATGACATAATTGTCTATTCCCCCTCCATCCAAGAACACATCAGTAGGCTTACCGAAATTTTTACGCGTCTTCGGAAGTCGAATTTCAAAATCCAGCCTGATAAGTGCGAATTCCTCAGAAAGGAAGTAGCCTATCTTGGTCATGTAATAACCCCTGATGGCGTTAAGCCCAATCCAGATAAAGTGGATTGCATAAAAAATTTCCCTCAACCCAAGAATCCTAAAGAAATAAAATCTTTCTTAGGTCTTGCAGGTTACTACCGACGCTTTATACCAAACTTTGCCAAAATTGCGAAACCCCTTACCAGACTATTACAGAAAGACGCAGTATTTGACTTTGATAGCGAGTGTGTTAAGTCATTTGATACTTTAAAAAATGCTTTAACAACATCTCCTATACTGATCTACCCCAACTTTGAAGAGCCTTTTGTGCTTACAACAGACGCAAGCGCTTTTGCGATATCTGGCGTTCTTCCAAGGTCCCATAGGTAAAGATCTCCCGATAGCCTATGCATCTCGTACACTTTGTAAAGCAGAAACGAGATATTCCACCATTGAAAGAGAACTTCTAGCTATTGTCTGGAGTGTAAAACATTTTAGACCTTATTTGTATGGTCGAAAGTTTAAACTCGTAACAGACCATAGACCCCTTACGTGGCTTTTCTCTTGCCGAGACACCGGAAGTAGATTAGCAAGATGGCGCCTCAAGCTAGAGGAGTACGACTATGAAATAGTGTACAAGCCAGGCAAGGCTAATAAAAATGCCGATACCCTATCACGTATCAAATTACCCAAAACTGTTAACGCCCTTACCCATAGTGACGAAGAAGGAGAACCTTCTACCCAATTTTCCGAAAGTGAATTTGATATCTTTGCCCGCCTTTACAAAACCACATCCCTGATCGATTATTCCAAAATTCAATTTTCAAATTCCCAACTCCTAGACAAAAGTCATAAACATATCGTCACGTTTTTCAGACAAAACACTCTATCTGATCTTCACAAAAAAATTATCGAAGACATATTCGAGGAAAATCTTGATTTTTCTGCAGATAAAATTAACATCGCGTCTAGCAAAACAATTAAACATAGAAAATACTATATTATTCCTGTGCCACACGATCCCGTAACTTGCATACAGCATCTTTTCTCTGTAATTTTAACCAACAAAGGTGTATTCGACCTATCCCAACAAATCTACGTTGAAAATAATTTGGACTTACCCATTTTAGAAATTTTCTCTCTTATTTTTTCGGATGATAATATCAAACTTGTCGTTTGCCAAAACGTCACCAAAACTCCTAGTCCCGATGAAATCCCCGTCATTTTAGATCAATACCATTGTGGTAAGAAAAACATTCATCGAGGAATTAATGAAACAATTAGGCGAATTCGTGAACGATATAATTGGCCCGGCTTAACTAAAGACGTTGAGCATTTCATCAAAAAGTGTGAAATTTGTCAAAAGACCAAAATTTGTCGTAAAAACCTCAGTGCCCCTTTTGTAGTAACTGAAACCCCTAAAGCCCCGTTCGAAAGAATCAACATTGACATTTTGGAAGTCCCACCTAAATGCTACGCTCTCACAATCCGAGACGAGCTAACAAAATTTTCTCAAGCCTATCCAATTAGCGACAAATCTGCAAAATCTGTAGTAAATACACTACTTTTATATTTCCAACATTATGGTACGCCTCTCCGAATACACTGTGATTACGGAAAAGAATTTGACAACGCCCTCATGAAAGACCTTTGTAGTCTTTATGACATTAAATTAACTTTTTCTAGTGTCAGTCATCCCCAGTCCAATGGCTCGATTGAGCGATTTCACGCCACCTTATTGGAAATGATCAGATCCCATGTATCCGAAAATCCCGACGAACATCCCTTCAATATTCTTCCCTATGCTGTTCAGTGCTACAATAGTACTAGAAATAAAACTACTGGCTTTACACCATACGAGCTCGTGTTTGGCCACACCTCTGGTCGTCCGCCCGAACACGTATATTTAGAAAAAGAATTGATGTCCAAGTATGTTCGAGACATTCGGAATAAACTCGAATATTACTACAAAATTACCCGCGTGAGAACTGACGAACAGAAGCAAAAAGCAAAAATTCGCTTTGGAGTGTCACCCAATTTACAATCATATGAAATTGGCGATAAAGTCTTTGTGAAACAGTCTCAAATTTCAAACAAGCTTCAGAACAAATTTGATGGTCCATTCGAAATTACTCAAGTTTTTGAAAATTCTGCGCTCCTTAAGAACCCGGAAACAAATAGAATAAGTAAAGTTAATTTTGACAGACTGAAACCATGTTTTGAGACTTAGTCTCTCTTTCAGGTGCAGTCTGCTGTTTCTTGCGGCTGTCACAGCCCAGATAGACATCAAACCGCTTAACAACACCTTAGGTATCTATTTTCATGAAGACGCCCCTCTTAAGATTTCCAACGAAATTGGGACACTCCTTGTATATAAAGACTTAGAACTCATTAAGAAAGCACTTGACGATACCAAATATATTCTGGAACACTTATCATATCTCGTAGACAAACCCACCAATCGTATGAAAATATTTAGTGGTGAAATTAAAACTCATACAAGTCTCCTTTATCAAATTTCTCGTTCCTTGGAATCTAAATATTACGCAATCTTCGATGACACTGTAAGCGCATCGCGGATGAAACGCGGTCTGATTAACGCTATAGGTACTGTATGGAAAGCAATAACCGGCAACCTCGATTCATCGGACGGTGAATACTATAACGATTGTATTAACAAAATTTCTAAAGATGAACATGAGCTCGAAAACCTCATGAAGAACCAAATTTCTGTTACCATGTCGGTTATCAAGAATTTTAATAACACTATTCAAAAACTTATGATTGATGAAACTACGTTTAATGAAGATATTAAAGTCATTGAAAACAAAATTTATGAAATTTCAGACGATCTTGCATTTTATGAAGCTAAATTCCAATTTTTAGAAGTTTGCGAACAATTAATGGAAAGCTACATGTTTCTGGAAGAGACAATTAATGATATTCTAAATTCAATTACTTTTGCACGTTTAAAAATAATACATCCTTCTATTATCACTCCTCAAGACTTAGTAAATTCTCTTCAAGAAATTTCTCACACTTTGTCGAGAAATAATTTACCCCTTCCGGTTAATTTAGCAACAGTGTCAGAGTACCTTAATCTTATGGAACTCGAAGCATATCAAACTAAAACAAGAGTAGTATTCGTTCTACGCATCCCGTTATTAGAGCCCGAAATGTATACTTTATACAGAGTGATTCCTCTACCCACTCTCGATAAACGTACTGGTTTGTTTCATGTAGTCTCCACTATACAGAGGTACATTGCTAAAGATAGCGATTCTCTTTTGTACGTTTCCTTTCAAAACTTAGGTAGTTGTAAAGTTCTTCAGTCTCAGGTGAAAATCTGTTTCAACCTCTTGCCGTATCCAATAGACAGTAATGCAGTCTGCGAAGCACAGTTGTTGCGAAATCCGGTCGATCTGCCGACAGCCTGCCAAATAGCAATTGTGGCATTGCAAGATTACAAAATCCAAGAACTTGCAACCAATTTTTGGCTAATCACCATATCTAACCCTCTGCCAATTACGATGAAGTGTGGACAACGAGAGACTACCACCAAAGTAATAAAAGTTAATTCACTTTTAAAAATGCAGCCCGAATGCAGTGGCTTTGTAGGCACCACGAGATTACATTCTAGATATTCTGTTAGCACCTACAAGAATATCACATACAAAAGTCATCCTGTAAAAGTACCCTACAAATGCTGTGAACATCTCCCAGAGAAACAAAATTTACCAAAATTAAAACCGATCAAGCTAAGCAAGATCGATACTGAAGAACTCGAAATTGCCAATCACAAATTAAACCAATATTCTGAACAACTGGACAAAATTATGAACGAGCCGTTTGTTTCGAGACATCTCTCATGGTTCACGTATTTTATCATCACCCTGTTAGTTATCATCGTAGCTTTGTACCTGTTCTGCAAGTGCAGAAAACGAAGACCACTCAGCATCTGCGCATCAAATTATCCAGCCGATGGCCCATCTCCAGGAGCACCAAAAGTCCGGTACATTCCCAGACTTTTTCCTCGACGTAGACCAACCATCCAGCCACATGAAGAAGACATCGAACTGCAGTGAGTGTTCCGTGAAGTGTTTTCACTGTTCAAAAAAAAACCCATTTTCAATTTTCGTGTTATCTTCCATGTAATTTTGCCCGTACGACTGTACGATTGTATCTTATTATTTGTTTGTTCCAGCTTTGCTTTTAGATGTTATTTTGCATCGCCAATGTACCGCATTTATGCTAACAGTTTTATTTTTCAGAATCTATATTTTCTGATGTTATTTTGCAATTTTATTACTCCTACTTTTATATTTTTATATTTTACAATGTTTACAATTTACATTTCTACATTTTTACATTTTTGAATTTTTACATCTTTTACACTTTTCTAATTTTGTCAAAAGTTGTCGCATGGCAACAACTTTTTGTAATAGGGGGAAGTTGTTATATGCACTCAAAACAATGGACTTACTATTCCATACAATGTTGCACCAGACGCTAGCTCAGCAACAGATAACGACTTCTCGCTAACTCGTTGTTTACGCTTTATTTTCTAGAGGTGCTTTGTAAGCACACCAATAGTATAAATAGGCCTTGCGCCCATTTCATGTCGTTCATTACCCGGCTAGGCACCGTAACAGTCACTTATGTAAACTCCGTAAATGTCACATTTGTAAACCTTTGTATTTTATATGGACTGAAGGTTCAGTCCTCAAATAAATTTTTTTAAAAAGTTATTTCTAAATCTAATGATTTAAGAGGCATATATTACACCTCTAGAATCTAACCAAATACCTGAGTCCATCGAAATCACTCACGATAGTCTATCATATCGCATCTTCTTATCGCTAGACAGTCAGAAATGTTTTAAATGTAAACTTTCTGGTCATATTGCTTCACATTGTCCTTCTGTAAACAACACACCACTGACAAATAACAGCAACACACAATATAGTCAGCCCGAAATCCCAGCCACCGAAACCACTCAAAGCATAGAACAGAATCATAGCAAAACAACAGTTTTTCTCCCTTCATCTCAACCAAGCAACAAGGAAATACCAGTACCGACATCCAACACCTCACATGAACCACAAAGCGTAACATTCAGTAGCAGCCAAACAAATATAATAGATAAAGCACCCAACAAAAGACCCATTTCAAATATTTTAAAACCTCCAGCAGCAAATACACCTAACAGTCCTACGTTCACTACTCCAAGAAACATTAACACCAAAAAGCATCAGTCGGAAACTGGACCGTTGATCATCCAAGACGATGCTTTATCTCCAGTTAAAGCATTTATAGACAGCCATACCCCACCACTTGCGTTAAATTGTGACCAGCTCAAGAGTTTACTGGAAAACACGCATGGGGTACAAGACATAACAAATATCATAAACTGGTATCTGGTATCTATTATCTGCTATGTGTTATCTGGTATCTGTTATTTGTTATCTGGTATCTGGTATCCGTTATCCGTTATCCGTTATCCTTCATCCGCTATAAGTTATAGCTCATCCTTTATCTGATATCTGGTATCAGGTATCTGGTATCTGGAGCCTGGTGTCTCGTATCTGATATCTGGGATCTGGTATCTGGTGTCTGGTATCTGTTATCAGTTGTCAGGTGTCAGTTATCTGTTACCTGTTATCTGTTATCTTTTATAAGTTATCAGTTTTCATTTTTCATTTTTCATTTTTCATTTTTCATTTTCATTTTCATTTTTCATTTTTCATTTTTCATTTTTCATTTTTCATTTTCATTTTTCATTTTTCATTTTTCATTTTTCATTTTTCATTTTTCATTTTTCATTTTTCATTTTTCATTTTTCATTTTCATTTTCATTTTCCATTTTCCATTTTTCATTTTTCATTCTTCAGATTTCAGTTTTCATTTTTTAGTTTTCAGTTATCAGTTATTTGTTATCTGTTACCTGTTTCCTTTTATCTGTTACTTTTTATCTGTTATCTGTCATCTTTTATCTTTTATCTGTTATAAGTTATCTGTTATGTTATATGTTACCACCTGTTACCTGTTACCATCTGTTACCTGTTACCATCTGTTACCTGTTACCACCTGTTACCTGTTATCTGTTATCTTCCATATAGCATTGAAAATATCCTGTATAAAATTGTATAACAGACTCAGATTTATGTGAGATGCCGGCAACGTCGCATGTGTTGTTGTTAATACCATACATGGCGTTATAAAATCTTCCATATAGCATTAATGCTCTCTATAAAATTGTATAGCAGACTTAGATTTATATGAGGATCCGTCGCATAAATCTAGCTACCACACGACTTGCAAAAAAATGGCGCTTGACACTGACATATGTCAACCGTGTTCGTCTATGGATAGCAGTGGACTATGCTTTCTTCAGTGTATATGTTTTCTGTTTTGTAATGTCAATGTCATTGTCATAGGTAATTTTTTCTAACCTGGAAAATAAAATGTAATACTATTTTGTTTAAAATTCAATAACTCCCTATTGTGAGATGATGTGCATCTACAACATAATGAAAAGAATAAATTAAGATTCTGAAAGTTAATTCCTAAATATCATAGTAAGGAAATCCGTAAAACTATCAAAAAAGTAAACATAAACACCTTGAGAAAACTTCTTCCGTATCATGTGGTTAAAGTGGAGTTTAAAAACAATTTTTGTAGAAAATAAGGCCGTTAGTTTACAAGCAGGTATGTAACTGAGCGATAATGTGTGGGTATGTTGCTTATAAAAAATGCTGTATTTAGATATCATTGCTATTCAAATTGAACTTTTGTCTTATTGTTACTATTTATTGCAGGAGAACAGTTGAACCAGGTCCTGGTGCATACTTATGTAGTTGTCATTTTGTGGATAGGAAAAAACAAAATTGACCTACATTGTTTAGGGGAGAAGCAATTGAACTTTCCATCGCCAGAAAGAAGAACCCGTAAAAAGACCATTGATAAACCTTTTAATATCTCAACAATGTGAAAATTGAACTCTATAATATGTTACTTCAAATTGGGCCCTTTTAAGGGATGTATGTAATAATTATGTGATCTGCAGAAATAAAAATAGTTTCCCAGTAAGGAGCATACTGTTGATTATAATTTTTGTCATTAGCTTTTTTTAGATACAACACATGGCATCATAAATTATTTTAATGTAGAGTTCAGTACTCCAGCTATAACAGGGTAGTCCCTCGATCTTTTCAAAGCTATTCAACAAAT